AACATCCCTGAGGATGATCCGAAGACATGCCATCACAATTTTGATCCTCTGTAGAGGGGATGGCACCCCTGCTTCGGTAGCCCGACGACCTGCACGCGAAGTCGAACACTTTACGGTAGAACAGTTTAACGAGGACCAATACCGCACACCCTCGGTCCCTACGCAGACTGATCCAAATGGTCACCCACCCGCACACTGACCGCAGCCAGTGATGCTTGACTTCGTTGATCGGCTGGGAACTGTGTCTTAACGATCAGTCCACTGCGGGACAATCAAAATTATCAAATCTTGTTTTGTAGAGACATGACTTTCTTGTGTCTAATTACGTTACTTTAAGTATTGTCTGCATTAATTAAATAGTGTGTTTCTGTTTAGACCTTCAAACAATCCTCAAGAAAAGGTAATCGCTCTTTTTTTTCTTTTTTTTTGCACTGTACTTACAAAGTTCTCTTAAACACAAGTGCACCATTTTCGAAATGAGTAATAACGGTCTTTAAAAATGGTAAAATTTTTTTAAGATTTTCCAATGAAACAGTATGAAAGTAAAATACTGCAAAGAATAAGAATGTTATAATGAAACAGGCAATTAATTATTTATTAGATAAAAGAATTTTCCACTAATGCTTTAAAAATTTACTTAAAGCACATAATTTTCTCCCATAAAAATTTGCGAAATTTAGAACTGAACCATTATTGTAATATTCTGCTTTCTTAATGTTTATATTACGATGGTTTTACATGGCAAATTATTGTTATTTTTTCAAATCTCAAAACAAAGTGTTTACTAACAAGCTTTATATTCTGTAAGTAATGAGGAAAAAAACCATTCATTATTTCTCTAGAACAATATTCTTGTTCATTATAATTCTGAAAGCCATTACTCCAAAACATTAGCATGCATGATTATTCAGCTATTCGGCCTAATTTTGTAATTTTCTTAACATTTAAGGCTGATTTGCCGAAGCTTTCGTGCCGCACCAGCTTCTTTTTGCCCCATTTGTTGGCCTAAAATACTGATTTCGATTTTTCTTCTTTACTTCAATACAAACACTATGTTTGTAAAACAATAATTCAATAAAATACGCCTTCGACATCGTAAATTCGTGCAGTTTTAAATAAATTTTCTCTCATCGCGTGCTGTTTTATTTAAATAGAATAAAAAATATCGTATTTAAGAAAGTTGCTTCGCTTAACTCTCGACATTTGTAACAAAATGATCGATGAATAAATAGTAAGTTCGTTTGCAGACGATTTCAAAAAATCAACGAATGTTTCTCAACGATTCGTAGTATGATAACAGATGCAATATATGAAATCATTTGTTTTATTTTGGTGTTGCATTTATATAGAAAAGTGTTTTGGTGCTCTTGGCGATAAGGGATTTTATGAAAATTTTAGAGAGAGGTAAGTACGGCGTAAAATTTAAAATCTTCAACGTAAGCTGAACCTCATATATCATTTTACTTGCGTCGAGCAGACGATTCTCAATGAGCAAACTACTTAGTGAGTGGGCTAAAAAACAGACGACAAACATTTAACGGGCGTATAAAATATGTTTATTTCCAATTTCAAAAATAATAAACATTATCGTAAATGGACAAAATCTGTTGTTATATTTTTAACAAAGGAGATCCAAAATAAAATTTCATTTTGTCTATTTACAGCAATTTTCAGTTGGAACACGTTCTTATAACTCATATGACAGTGGATGGCCGATTTATACAAGCTTCAGAGCAATTAGCGAACGAGACAATGAACTGATTATATAATAGACAAATTATCTAATCAATGAATAAGTTAAACAATTAGTTTTAAAAATTAAAGAATGAGTGAATTGATAAATCAGCTTGTCAAAAGTGAGCATATCAACAGATCAAAGAATAATCGAATAAACTAATTAATGAATAAATGAAATGTGGAATAAATTACTTAGCAGATCACAGAATTATTATTATTAGTTGTCGAATTGCCACAAACTATAAGACCGAATTCGCTAAAAATTTGTATCTTGTCATACATAGTTACATTCTTTAAAATGACATCAATAATTTTATGCCTTACAATTTAAATTTCTTTCAATTATAATTAAACAAAATAATAAATATTCACTAAAAGCAAACATTTTTCAATTCACTTAGAAAGTTCTCGAGATATGGCGAAATACGCAAAAAAACGCAAAAAAATAAAACTAACGTTAAGAGTTCCATGGTAAATATTCCAAACTTTGAAACGTTGACCTGACCAAATAATTAGGACAATATTTCCAGGATTGAGACTACGCCCTATATTTTGGGTTCAGAAATCTCATAAAAAAGGTATATTTTTTTCAGAAAAAGTACGTTTTTGAGTATGATATCGTAGCTTAAAATATCGTCTGTACTCATGAATTGGCATATTTGAGATCACCCCCTCGAACCATTAAAACTAAGTCCTAAAAAGTAAAGATCCGATCATTACATCAAAAGTTATTCTGGGTGGTCCTTTAATTTTTTTTTGCACGCTATAAACTCCATCAGTAAAAATACTTTTGTAAAGAATTTTCTATTAGGTAACTGAAATTAATCCTGAAATCGGTAGTCAATAAATTGCTTTTTCCGTAGAACATCTGGCATCGGAAATAATATTCCATTTCTTTTAATGCCACCAAGAAAAATCGCCAACTTTTGCAATTCTCATTTCGCCTAAAGGTGGTCTTCCGGAAATTTTCAAGTTTTCTGACAAACGTAGAAAGACCGAATAAAAAGATTACGATGTAATTTAATAAATGTATGCCAAAATTTAACCATGTGTAGTTTCAATTTTTCTTCAAATTCGGTTACTTTTTTGACAATCCAGTAGTAAGTGTTACAATATCTTTTTAATGTTTTTTAATTCTATGTCTTTTATAATTTGTTTGGTTTTTCTTTACAAACCAAATTTTTTTTACTAAAATTTAATTAATCTTTGCAAATTTTTCCGAAATTTAACTAATCTTTGCCAAAATTTAACCAATCTTTACCAAAATTTAACCAAAATTCAACAATTCCTTGCAAAACAGAATTTTTTCATCTATTTTTTCTTTTTTTACCAAAATTTAACCAAAATCTACCAAAATTTTACCTAGTGTAGTTTCAATTTTTCTTCAAATTTGGTAACTTTCTTGACAACCCAGTAATAAGTATTACACGATTTTGTTTTAATGTTTTTTAATTCTATGTCTTTTATAATTTCTTTGTTTTTTCTTTGCAAACCAAAGTTTAGCCAGCATTTTTTTTACCAAAATTTAACCAATCTTTGCAATTTCTGCAAATCTTTCCAAAATTTAACCAATCTTTACCAAAATTTAACCCAAATTTAACAAATCTTTGCAAACCAAAATTTTACCAAAACTTAACCTTGTGTAGTTTCAATTTTCCTTTGATTTCGGCAACTTTCTTGGTAACCCAATAATAAGTGTTACACGATCTTTTTAATTTTTTTCAATTCCATGTCTTTTACAACTTGTTTGTTTTTTTCTTTGCTATAAAAGGAGATCGGCTGATGAAGAGAACGTAGATGAAGGCCACGAAGATCATTCTGAACAAGAGCAACACCATGAAGATCATTCACAGCTCATAGATTCGTTGTTCGTTCATTATGATTCTAGTTCTTCTCCCACCCACGCTACAAGTGAGCATAAGCTTTAATATTATAATGAAGCTTAACCCTTTCTATCAGAAGGAAAAACAGTAATGGACGCGTATAACTGCCACTACGGATATGCTAAATTCCTGCACTATTTAACTTCGACTACGGGAAAAGAGAAATCTTTTGTAAGTCCAATTTCCTGATTTTTTTTCCTCTATTGGCAAAACGGGTCTTGTTTTGAGTTTGATGGCGTGCTCACTTTATTTGGACGTCATCACACTTTTCAACTGCTTAAGAGTAATAGTAAACAGTGCGCATGCGTCGTCATTGCATGCGTTGCTATGGCAACCGCTGCTGTTTCATAATTTTTTTTAGAATTCTTTTTTTCACTTTTAATTTTGTTAAGCATTAAGTTGGAGAGTTTATTTTTGAGATATGGGACCAGACAGATCCCATAAATACTTCTTGAGTTGTGGATAAAAGAGAATTTCATCATTTGAAAGATATTTTTGTTTTTATTGTTTTAATTAAGAATCAGACATTCTAAAATGCAGTTCAAACTGGATCGTTTTCAATACTGACTCAGGTGACTATCACAAATAAGGAGGGTCCTTAACTGATTGACACGGTCCCAAAGGTTAGAGTTGAAGCAAGGGAAAAAAAAAACGATGCCAATGGGTAGCCTGTGATCGCCCTGCGGCAATCACAATTTTTTTATTTATTAATTTCTTTAAAATTCTCTTCTTATTTTACAGATTCTCTGCGTGTTTTTTTTAGCTTAAAAAGGAAGAGAGATATAAAAAATACCTTAAACATTTTTATGTAACATTAACGGCTTTTTCTCTTTAAATTTTTTTATGATGGAATTTTGAAACATTCTTTAATGTTACTTAATGATTTAATTTCAGATGAACCAACCATTGTTTATGTTAATTTGCAACTTCTGAGCTTGGATGATATAAATGATGCCAAGATGGTAAATATTGGAATTAGTAATAATAATAATGATAATTATAATAACCATAGGATTGTGTTTTTCTTCGAAAGTTGAGCTTTATAATTTTAACAAGGTAATTATGAAATTACGCTATCAACAATTGATTCTCCGCCGGATACATAGTGAAAAATATTGAATAAAATTTGGTATAAAGGTAGTTGTACAGTATGCATTCAGGTACTGAAAATGATCAACTCGCTTTCACTGTTATGATTATAGCTGCAGAGTTTTGAAGTTGGCAACATAAACTTTTTTCCATCGAAACTCATCCCCACAGTACAAACTTTTTTTTAAATATCTCACTGTATTAACTACTTGCATAATATATAATTTCTATCTGATTGTGTCTTGTAAAGCCTAGTTTGAATTCGTTTAAAGATTCTCTTGTTCTATGTGGATGCTTGATTTACAAACTTTTTTTCTTAAACAGTTAGTGTATGTATACATTCTAAATTAATGATTCTTACTTTATATTGTATTGTAAAAATAACTTCACTGACTCTTATGTGTATCTCATCTTATTTTAATTATAAATTGTAATGCTATTGAATAACAAAAATATTGGCGGCTACTTTACACTGAATAAAAGAACATTGTAGTGAAAAGCGAAATCCAAGAGTTAAGTATGGTGCATCACTACACTATTTCGGTGTAAAGTAGTTAACACTATTTTTTTCTGTTGACATACACAACATTATTTTTTATAATGAATGTTGTTGGAAAAGTTAATTTATAATCACTCTGCGTATGTTTAAATTTGAAGGAATTTGTTATTGATTCTTGACATGGAGTTAAGTATGGCGTTTCACTGCACTATTTCGGTGTTAAGTAGTTAACATCGTTTTTTCTGTTGACATACACAAAATTTTTTTTATAATGAATGTTGTTGGAAAAGTTAATTTACAACCACCCTGCGTATGTTTAAATTTGAAGGAATTTGTTATTGATTCTTGACATGGAGTTAGGTAAGGCGCTTCACTACACTATTTCGGTGTTAAGTAGTTAACATCGTTTTTTCTGTTGACATACACAAACATTTTTTAATAATGAATGTTGTTGGAAAAGTTAATTTATAATCACCCTGCGTATGTTTAAATTTGAAGGAATTCGTTACTGATTCTTGACATGGAGTTAAGTATGGCGCTTCACTACTCTATTTCGGTGCAAAGTAGTTAGCATAGTTTTTTCTGTTGACATAAACAAACATTTTTTATAATGAATGTTGTTGGAAAAGTTAATTTATAATCACCATGCATTTGTTTTAATTTGAATGATTTTGTTATTGATTCTTGACATGGAGTTAAGTATGGTGCATCACTACACTATTTCGGTATAAAATAGTTAACACCATTTTTACTGTTGAGATACACAACCATTTTTTATAATGAATGTTGTTGGAAAAGTTAATTTATAATCACCCTGCATATGTTNCTACTTTACACTGAATAAAAGAACATTGGTGTAGTGAAACGCGAAATCCAAGAGTTAAGTATGGTGCATCACTACACTATTTCGGTGTAAAGTAGTTAACATCGTTTTTTCTGTTGACATACGCAAACATTTTTTACAGTGAATGTTGTTGGAGAAGCTAATTTATAATCACCCTGCATATGTTTTAATTTGAAGGAATTTGTTATTGATTCTCGAATGACGTTCTACTGGTATGACAGTCGCCTCATGACTCCCGAGTGCCGAGACGAAAAGAAAGATTGTGACGACAGTTTCGACTTGAAGAAAAGATTCGATGAGCTATGGACACCAGATCTTTACATTCTGAACTCAAGACTGGCAAGACAGCACGATCAGCCTCTAAGAAATGGGATGGTATACTTGCATGCCACAGGAAGAGTCCTTCTCAGCAAAAGGTATCCGCCTCATTTAGTACAAACTTATTACTCATTGGAAAAATGGGTGTTGTTTTGGGTTTGATGGGGTGCACATCTTATTTGTGCTGGCAGAGTTCAGTGCGTTGTGGAAAATGCCTAGCAAGCATAATGAAAAAAGTCATCTTTGAACTAATCAGAACTTTTATAAAGCAAGAAAAATCATAACTAAACTTATACATCATAAAAGAAGAACAATCCTCTCCATAACATGAGGTAACGAATTCAATACATACAGTCATGAAAATCAAGCGAAACAAACTCCAAATCCAATCTTGATTTGTTATATATATATATAAAATAACAGTTGCATAATGAGGGTACTTACACACTCAAAATTAATACTATGCAAATTCTGTCGTTAAATTATTTTTAAATGTTCGAACTCGTGATCTCTGACTCTTACTCGAACCTTGTTCATTGAAATTCATAGTCTGACAATTTGGACGTTATCATACCTTTCAACTGTGTTCAAGAGTAATAGTAAACAGTGCGCATGCGTCGTCATTGCATGTGTTGCTATGGCGACCGCTGCTGTTTGTTTATTTTTATTTTCACCAGCAGCCATTTTTAATGTATTTGCATAATAATAATTTAAAGTATTTTTATATTCTTTTTATTATTAACGTATAATTACTGTCTTGACGGTGATTTCAATATAAGTATGAATACTGAAGAAGGAAAAGTATTTTGTGACGTCATGAAACACGTACATAGGTAGAATTTGAAATTAAATCCGACGACAAGCATCAATGGAGACAGTTTTTTGCAACCCATGATATTGAAATGTTGTGGCGTTTAACGGAGTCAATCCAGAAAGAAAAAGTATTTGACCAATGGATGATCAGTAATCGTGATAAGGTGATTCCAACTTTTTCCTTTTTTTATTTTTTTGTTATCTTGATTTCTTAAGTGGTGTCTTTTCTACAACATGGAATGGCACATATTGTAAATTTTGTGAACAGTACGATGCTAAACTGGAAATTTTGATACCAACTTTCAGCATTCTAGAAATTTTGAAAATAATATAAAATTATGCTAGAAAGGTTGATTTCTGTTTGATCTACTGGGAATTTTATTTTCAAATTAGTTTGAAACTAATATATCTCCAAATTCACTTTCATCAGTTTTTTAAAAAAATAAAGATATTTAAAAAAAAAATTAAAACAGACATTTGTACATAATAAAATTTCTTATTGCTTTATATTTTTGCGAAATAATCCGTAGAAGTTCAAAAATTATCCAGTGTTTATCAAAAAGTAGTTAAAAATATTCTCATCTTAACCCTTTGTAACTCAACAATTCTCATTTAAGAAATATTTACGCGGATGTTAGAATACATCATATTAAGAGAGTAAAAAATAATTAAAAAATTAAGACCTTAAAATTAAAAATTTATTGATAAAAAGCATTTGTTGAACATCTCCAATATCGTGAAAAATAGCACAAAAATTCCAATATATTTAAAACTTCATGTGAAAAATTTTGAAATTGTTGTTTTTATGGTAACAAAGTCTCACACCACATTTTTCAATCCCTCCTTGGTCAAATATACAATCAAGGGGATTGTTGTAAAAAAATTTGTATATCCTGCAATTATGTCGTGGAACAATTCTTGCTAAACGCATTATAATGTTGGTAGCTGCACCAAGATTTGGTTTCCCCGAGTTTGCAATATTTTCTTTACCTGAATTTAGTTCGATTTTATAGGTAAATCCACCTCATTATAGGATTGAATTTTCATGTATGTTGCAGATATGTAACGCGGTGATACAAAGGGATATAATAAAGAGATGACCTAATTTTTTATCTTTACTTAAAGGTATAGTTTAGTCAAATGATAATATATCATCAAAAGTTTGTTAAAAAAATGCTGGATCTAATGCAAAGGAATAATAAAGAAAGTACGGAATTTATTTAATACCTAAGATTGTAAGAGCAAGGGTCTCTTAATTCAAGAATTCGCACAATTATTGGGTTGTTCAGAAAGTAATATAATTTTTTCCCAACAGAGAACTTGAATATGTTTTATCACAGCCAACTAAACACTAAAGTTGTTTAATGATTGCATATTTTGAGAAATGATATAACAAGGTTTGCTTGTGAAAAATTAATTCGACGAAAGAGGTTTTGGTTGGTGCGATTTTAAATATGGAAAGTGAAAAACATCACTTACAGCATATTTTCTGTTTTTTTACTATCGAAAAGATAAAAATGCTTTTCAACAGTGTTCCGGTCTGTACAAAAGTTTTTAGATGGTAAAACTTTTAATTCAAATAAGAAGGTCAAAAATCACATGAATCAGTTTTTTAGCCAATAAATAACAAAAATTTTATTCGCATGGAATCATGCTACTCATGCAGAAAGTTAGCAGAAAGTATTGAGCCAGAATGGACGATATATGAATTAATAAAATACACTCTATAACAAAAAAAATCGACGCACCAAGAAGCAATCCTCCGATTGCTTTGAAATTTCGTACCTGCGTCCTGACCATCATCGAAGACGTGTTTGGAGGCGCACAGGGCAGAGGGGGGATCCTGCCTTCACTATTGCACGCCACACCGGCCCTCAACAAGGCATCATGGTCTGGGGGCCATTTCCTTTGACAGCCGGACCCCTTTGGTCGTGCACAGCGGTACATCGACGACATCCTAAGACCTGTTTTGCTACCGTTCCTTTTGCAGCACCCTGGGCTGGTTTTTCAGCAGGACAATGCCAGACCACATACGGCACGTGTAGCTATGAACTGTCTGCAAGCTTGTCAAACTCTTCCTTGGCCTGTCAGATCACCAGATCTCTCTTTCATCGAGCATGTTTGGGATATGATGGGAAGGCGATTGCACCTGGCACAGAATGTTGATGACCTCGTTCGACAATTGGAACGAATTTGGCAGGAAATACCATAAGAGACCATCCGGGAGCTTTATCGGTCTGTGCCACGCCATGTGGCATCTTGTATCCAGGATAGAGGCGGATCAACACCTTATTGAACTTGTTACTGAAACTCTGCAATAAATTATTCAATTGTTCTGAAATTTTAATCATTTACTATTCTGTACATTGTCTTCCTATCCACCAATTTTCGTTTCAATCAGACAACTCTTTCTTGGTGCGTCGATTTTTTTGTTATAGAGTGTATTTATTCTCTATAAGAAAATATCCTTTCATTTTCTTAAAAATTATTTTCCGAACAACCCAATGGAATATCAGACAATGCATTCAGTGTGGAATAAATTGTTAACTATTTTTTTTTAAAATTTAGATTATCCGTAACTTTGAGATGTCCCATGAACTTAATTCACTATCCTCTGGATACACAAAAGTGCCCATTATTGATTTGCCCTTGTAAGTATCAATCTCTTGAATATATAATCTTCTTTTGAAATATTTTAAGACTGAAATGTCTTATTATTTTAAGAATAATATATAAAAAAATAATTACTAAATTTTTGCTGTTGAAAACGAAGAAAATGTATGGTATAGTATTTAGAAATACAATATAGATGTGCAATAAATTTTAAGATAATCTGCATACATTACCCATATCTATATACATTATCCTGTATATATTTGTATATATTATCCTATATACAAGGATAATCCGTATATATTATCCTTGTAAGTATCAATCACTTGAATATATATGCAGTAGTCATTTTTAAAAAAATATTTTAAGATTTAAATTATAAACAAATTCTGAGGAATCGTTGATTGTTGTAATTGAAAACAATGTATGGTATTGCGGCGACTCAACTTAATCGTAACCGCGACGGTTACGATCAAGAACTTGAACTTCTCATTGGCCAGAGCAATCCTAACTGTCTCTGCTGCAAGACGCGCTGCGCTGATTTATATTCCACTTCTTTATACTTTAATATTATCGATGTTAATAAATACTAAAATAACTGAACTCTAATGATTAGTCTCCTGAACATTAACCAACCACAGCAGTATACTGTTTAGAAATACTATATAGCTGCTCAGTAAGTTTTAAGACACTCTGCATATATTATCCTGTATATATCTGTATACATTATCCTGTATACAAGGATAATATAAATCTCTCTATATATTATTCTTGTAATTATCAATCACTTAAATATATAAATACTCTTCTTTTTAAATATTTTTATAGTTTTGAACTGTAAAAAAATTCTGAGAAATTGTTGTTGTTGAAAATGAAGAACAACGTATGGTATGCTATTTAAAAGTATGTAGCTGAAATTATAAATTTTAAGACACTATTTATGCATCAATCTGTTACTGACCAACTATTGAAATTGGTCTTTATATGAAACACATCTAGATGAAAAAAATGGTAGTATAATATGTTTATATCAAATAGATAAACAAGTGTTATTATTGTGTGCAAAAATGTTTTAATTCGTTTCCTTAGTTCTGGAGATATGACGAAATACTCAAAAAGGGAAATTAGAGAAACAGTTATTCATTACTGAAATTTCTTTAATTTACAAAATCAATTGCTGATAAGTTTTAAAATACGAATGGAAAAAATTCAAGCTACTTTTTTTATATTTTATATTTTAGTACAAATATAATTCCGATAATCTTACAAATTATTTTAGTAACTGTTAGACTGTTTTTTATACATAAAAAGTAGCAAAATATATTATTGCTTGTAGTTAGAGAGTCAGAAAAAATAGGTATAATATATAGTATATATATAGGTAAATAGTATATATATAGGGTTATTCATAATTCCCTTCGGGTTTTCGAAGGGTTATAGTAAAGCGTATAGGCTTCAGTGGTACATGTTACTGCCATCTACCGGCAACTGCTTAAATTAAAACTTGAATACTTTCGGAATAATTTCATATGTTCTTTTTTGCCATATTCGTCTTCGTTTTTTTATTATGATGCTTCGAAACCCCGGAGGGAATTATGAATAACCCTGTATAGTATATAGGTATATTGTGTATATAGGTATAGGTAAATAGGCATTTGTATCAGAGGATCTCATTTTTTACTGTTTGGACATCATTTTGCTTACAGCAATGGCTTTTAAGTTATAAAGATAATTCGGAGTTAATTTTAACAAGTTATTCTTAAGTAATGTTAAAAAATTTTTTTTATATGATAGAATAACAGTTTTAAAGTTAAGTAAATGTATTTATTTTTTTAAAAACAGATTCACTAACAGAGGAGGAACTTATTTTGCGATGGTCAAAAAATGGTGTTGGGATTTTAGATCATGAAGACGATGGTCAACACAAGTTTATTCTGCAACGACCCGTAAGGTTTGGATCTTGGAAACTTTCTTATGAAGGACCAGGTAACCAAGAAAAAAAAGCTGTTTCTCTTTTTAAGAGCTGGTTGTGGACTTCGAATCAACTCTTTGTTGTAGAAGCTAGAATATTTTTAGAATCGTCAGACTAAGTCATATGGTTAGATCAAAAGTCTTATACGTATTTTAAAATAAGTTAAGTGCAAAGACCAATAGTTATATTCGAATTTGAAACGTTTCATGCTTAGACTAAAAGTTGTTTTCATATTTTATACTAAGTTAAATGTTTAAAAGTTATAGTCGTATTTCGGACTAAGTTAAATGCAAAGATTGAAAGTTATGCTTGTGTTTTAAAATAAGTTACGTGTTTAGACTAAAGGCTGTATTTGTATTTTTGACTAAGTTACATGGTTAGATAAAAAGCTATCTTCGTATTTTAGAATAAGTTAAAAGTTGTATTCGTATTTTAGGCAAGGTTAAGTTCAAAGGTTAAAAATTATATTCGAATTTCAATTGCTATATGTTTAGACTAAAAATTGTATTCGTATTTTAAATTAAGTTGCATTTTTTGGCAAAAAGTTACACTCATATTTTAGAACAATTTAAGTGTGTAGACTAAAAGTTAGAGTTGTATTTTAGGAAAAGTTAAATGCTTAGATTAAAATTTATATTCGCATTTTAGACTAAGTAAAAATGGTACCTATCCATTTTGACGGTACATGTCATAAAATTGCCAATGAAAAAACAGTAAATTCAACCATTTTTTTTAAAAATATTTTTATTTGATTTAAATAAAAATTTAAACAAAAATAAATAAATGGCTGAATTTACACACGTCTGTAAAATAGATAAGTACCATTATATGTTTAAACTGAAGGTTATATTGGTATTTTGGAGCACTTGAGTTTATAGTCTAAAATACGAATATATCGTAGCATTTATTGTTTCTTTAAACTATGAACTATATATTTTTCTGCTCAGGAAATAAAATTGCCAATGAAAAAACAATAAATTCAACAATCGTTTTTGAATATTTTACATTTATATTTGATTCAAACACAAAATAAATTGAAAATAAATAAATTGAAATATCTGCATTTTCTCGTGCCGGTGAAATAAAAAAGTGCCTTTAAATGTTCAAACTAAAGGTTACATCGTATTTAATACTAAGTTACTGTATAAAACGGGACAGACATACTTTAGTAACTTACGGTTTTCAGCCAATGCAATTTTCTATGCTGCAACATGGTGCAAATATTTCAAGTACATTGAAAAGAAAAACTTATTATTATTATTATTTGAAAATGAAACGTCGTTGTGAAAACTTACGTTTTTGAAAACTTGCTGCGTCATTCTTTTTTTTTCACTGATTTTAAAAATTTTCATCTCGATGGAAAATTTTTCTTTATGGAAAATAGTTCTCTTTTGTGCAAAATTTTAAAATCTCACGCCAAATTCGCCATTTTCTTTAAACAGTCATCAATATTTTTTGTTTTATTTCACCGAATCAATTTTCACATTTCACCAATTTTTTTAAATAATTATTATTTTTTATAATTAAAATAAATATTCGTTTTAAAATTCGGTATTATAATTTTTTTTATCGAGTTTAAGGATATCAAACTTTTTTTTCCTCCTTGGCGAAAGAGATTTAAAAAACACCAACAAGTTTAAAAAAAACAACTCAATCTTCGACTTAATTTATTTCAAAGATTGTCTTATTTTTTAAATTAAAAATTAGTTACATAAAATTCGAAAAATTGAAAATTTATTTTCATAATTTTGAAATTTTCGAAAATATTATTTTATTTGAGTTTTTTTTAATACCAAAAAAATACTTTTTTTAAAAATCATTTTTGCTTTATGGTTTATTTACGTGATGTATATATATCGATACTCAAAAGTAAATCTTGCAATGACCTTCAAAAATATTTTATTAAAGACAACACGCTATGTTTAAACCACGTGTCTAAGCGTTTATACCGTGTCAGTATTTTACTGTACTTTTGACGTTTGCCCAAGTTTAATTTGTTTAATCTGTCATAGTAAAGAAAGAGTAAGAGAAACAAACATGCCAGAGAAAAATCAACATGACGTGAAGTCTGGACATTAAATATTTCAATTAACGTATTTTTTTAAGAAAATTTGCTATTAATATTCATTCGGATTTTAGTGGAAATTACAAAACATACGAAAATGGAGCTTAGATTTGTGTACGTATATTTAAGTTTAAAAAGGTACAACCGGTGAAATGCGTTAAAAAATGGGTCAACATCACGTTTTTCCACGTTTCTTTAATTCTTGTATGATATTTAGTTGCATGAATAATTTATATATATTTTTAGTTTAAGCATTTTTTAGAGAATGATTCAAGAATAGAATCAAGTAAGTATGTTTGTCATACGCTAGACTGAAAAATAGTTTTATTTGAATAGTTAGAAATTGTTTTTAAGTTAAAATGAAATATTGACTTTATTAATGGAGAAATCAATTATTTGTAGCGAGATTGCTTTATATTTACATGCAATAGTGAATATTGTATCAAGCTCTTTTTACAGTAAATTGTATGAAGGATAATATTAGTAGCATTATGAAAAATTTTATAATAAATGATAAAGTTTTTTCTTCAAATCTAATTTTGCATGATTACTTACAGTTACATAGAATTTTGTGATTTTTAGATGTAATAACTCTTAGTAATATAATAATTAGATTAAATTAAATAGAAATTCATACAATTATAATTTAGTTAACACTAGATTACCCAGGGAAGTAATTTTGACTGCTTTTTAATTTTAATTAGAAAAACAATGATGTATATAATGAAACACATTTTCTTAGAATTTTGTGATTTCTTGTACAACATATTATTTTTTTATTACTAATATTTACTAATAACTTGTTATGTAACAGTAAATAATGTAAAAAGTATTAAAAAATAATTTTAAACAAATTCCTTTACACAGTTATTCTTTTACAATGCAGTCATTTTGACTGCTTTTGGGCAATATAGGTATGTACTAAGTTTCAGTCTTTCTAGTGTTAAGTGCAAAATGTGATGTTGAAATTAGATTGTCAGGTATTAATTGAATTTTTATCAGAACAAGCACAATGTTCACAATAAATATAGTTTTCGTTCCACATAGGAATTTTTTGAGTAATTTACGAAAACGTTACTTATTTTATGTATTTTTTTTCCTTCAAAACACCACCCTTTTCAGAGAAACATTTATTGTTTAAACTCTTTTACGTACAACGAAAACTACATTCATGTTGTTTAAAAAATCATAATAGAATCATATCAGGATGATGTTTTTCTACTTATGAGTATGGCTGATTTAAAAACTAAGTTATATTATATTGCACAATTTCAATTTTTGAAATTGGTTTGTTTGTAATATGATAAAAGGAAGATTAAAATATGTACACAGGGATACAAAAATGTGAATTTATCACAATCGTCTAAAAAATCATTAAAAAATTCTTCCTTTTAACCGGTTTCTACTGTGTTATGTTTTTTGAAATCAATCTTTTTGAACCATTAAAATTGGCTTTTAGAAAATCTGATTGTTAGTACGAATCCTGAACTTTTGTTCCCTGAAACACCTTGTTAATTTTCAATTAACATTTAATTTTTGTTATCTTGCTGAAGTATATTTAATTTACAACTTTAATTAAATTAAAACATCTCTTCAATTCAGATGTTTCAGGTTCATTCTCTTGCGTTAACGCAACGTTTACATTGAAACGCAACAATGGATATCACATCGGATACTCATACTCCATAACAGGCTTCATCGTCATTGTCTCATGGCTTGCTTTCTGGCTACCAGTCAACGCAATTCCAGCTCGTGTGACCCTTGGGGTGACCACCCTTCTTACGTTGCTGACTACAGCGAATTTCGTTCGAACTTCTCTGCCACCCATCCCTTATGTGACTGCCATTGATGTCTGGGTCGGGGTTTGTACCCTGTTTGTTCTTCTGGCCCTCTTACTTTTTCCCATAGCGCACCATTTTTCAACAAAGAGTATGGAGAAGACAGACCAGAAAGGAACCAAGATAATGGTGGTAAGTAACTTATGATTGTCTTGTATGGATGGTGTTTTCAATACAAATGTAAACATAAACAAGCTGCCGATCTCTACATCTTCCGGTTAGACGGCTTACAGCTGCTTACTACATCTCATTGAGAATGGTGATATTATCAAACAGATAATTTCGTTTTAATTAAAGTAAATAAATACTATAATTTATGAGCTCAAATCTGCTGCATTTCGTGGAATGTTAATGATATTAAGTGTGCAGTGGTGGCTCAGGGGTTAGAGCACTCGCCTCCAAATCAGGTAACCGGGGTTCGTATTTCAGCGATGACTGAGTGATACGAATTTTGCACTCGGCTCGCACCGACCACGGTGCTGATGTAAAATATCTTCAATGGTAGACGAAGTCAATTAGAGATCATACGTATTAGTGAATCCTTGAATGGCCGAATAAATGAATGTTCGTATTAGTGAATCCTTGAATGGCCGAATAAGTGAATGTTCGTATTAGTAAATCCTTGAATGGCCGAATAAGTGAATGTTCGTATTAGTGAATCCTTGAATGGCCGAATCAGTGAATGTTCGTATTAGTGAATGTTCGTATTAGTGAATCCTTGAATGGCCGAATAAGTGAATGTTCGTATTAGTGAATCCTTGAATGGCCGAGTAAGTGAATGTTCGTATTAGTGAATCCTTGAATGGCCGAATAAGTGAATGTTCGTATTAGTGAATCCTTGAATTGCCGAATACGTGAATGTTCGTGTTAGTGAATCCTTGAATGGCCGAATAAGTGAATGTTCGTATTAGTGAAGCGTTGAATGACCAATAAGAAACTCTTCGTATTAGTGAATCCTTGAATGGCCGAATTAGCAAATCTACTCATTAGTAAATCCTTGCAAGAGCAAATGATTAAATTCTCGTAGTGTATCCTTGAATAACCGAATCAACGAATCTACGTATTAGTGAATCCTTGAATGACTGAATTAGAGATCATGCGTATTAGTTAATCCTTGAATGAGCGTAACTTAAAATATTGGTGCTATTAGAGAATCCTTAAATGACTGAATGAGTAAATATAGATATAAGTGAATCTTTTTATACCAAATTTTTGAATGAACGAATACGTTTGTAAATAAATTTAAAACCTATAACTTATTGTTACGGCAGTTGATTACCACAGTTTTCATGATATTCATTTTCTTTTCTTTTTCAGCATAGCCGAATTGATCCCTTAAATCTCAAGTGTATCAAATGTGGAGGAAATAAAAGTGCTTCTAACGCTCTAAGCTCCAAAGAAAGTTTAAATGTGGACAAATTGTGTAAACAATTGTTTCCAGTTTTATTTTTCGTGTTCAACACAATATACTGGTGGTATTATTTAACGCAAAACTAGATATTTACTTGATAACACCAACTATGCAGTTTTTTAAAAAAAAAGATTAAATTCTATTCTTGGTATAAGAGTTATTTTAGCTGGCTTTTGTACTTTTGAAGTAAATTAAATTAAGGTTATGTAAATAAATAAAAACGTTTCTTTACGGAATTTTCTGTCTTATGAATTTTTTAATTACTTTTGTGTACTAATTGATTTGTTTTTTAAATTTTTTCTTCTTTTGGAATAAGTCTGAATTGCTCTGATTGAGACGAAGGTTTGTAACTTAAACACATTTTTTTTCTTCTTTTAACCTTTACAATCTCGCTATTTTTTTTTCACGTAGCAACAACTTTTCAATGACTAAGCGAGTTAAAAGCTAACGGTATCGCTTGAATAATTTCCTAATGACAACTGTTTAAAAAGAATGATTTCGAAGCCTCTCTGGCCAGACGATCTCGCGTTTCTGCCAAACGATTAATAACGTCGAGATCCTTCTCTAAGTAATTATCTTTCAACTTGAAAAGGGTTTTAGAGTCGTATTTATAATGAGAACATTAGCCTGTATATTTATTTATTGCTTACACATAAATAAGCCGGATTGTGCACTCTATTTAAAAAAAAAGGCTTATAGTTGAGAAACAGTGAGCACAAGTTAGAAAAGACAACGTAAAATAATTACATCCAGGATTACTTCGGGATTCGAACCTAACACCTTCACGTTACAGAGAGTTTGGTAGATAGCGATGACGTGTTTGGTTGCGGATTTCTCAGTTTGTATGGCAAATAACATAATAATACAACAAATAAATAAATAACTAGTCCCACAGTATCGTGAAAATGAGGTTTCCAGTAGAACACCGAAGTCAAGAATCACTGGTTGCGTTCAGTAAGCGGGTGGATGACCACTTCGATCTTTCTGTGTAGGGACCGAGGGTGCACTGTATCGGTCCTCGTTAAACTGTTCTACCGTAGAGTATTCGACTTCGCGCAGATCGTTGGGCTACCAAAGCAAGAGAGCCATTCCCTCTGCAGAGTATCAAAATTGTGATGGCATGTCTTCGGATCATCCTCAGGGATGTTTCCCAGACCATCGCAAATAGTCACTGTGCAGCTCTAATGTAGCGTAAATAGAGTATCTACCTACCCAATAAATAACTAAATTGATTTCAAAAATTTGTTGTTGTTGTTAGTTGTAGTTAATTTACGTCGCACTAGAGCTGCACAATGGACTATTGGCGACCGTCTGGGAAACATCCCTGAGGATGATAGGAAGACACATCATCGCAACTTTGATACTCTGCAGAGGGAATGGCACCCCCGCTTCGGTAGCGCAACGACCTGCACGCGAAGTCGAGCACTTTACGGTAGAACAGTTTAACGGGGACCTATACCGCACACCCTCGATCCCTACGCAGACTGATCCAAGTGGTCACCCACCCGCACACTGACAGCTGCCGGTGATGCTTGACTTCGGTGATCTGCAGGGAACCGTGTCTTAACGATCCGTCCACTGCGGGACTCAAAGTTTTGAATATTGTCATATAAGTTTCCAGACGATTCAAGTAATTGCGCATCATTGTAGTGCGTGTTATTAATGTTAAAAAAGTAATAAAAAACTGATGACAAGCATTCACAATCACTTCAAAAGTTACGTACGGGAGCGAGCGAGATGAAACGTAAACTACAAAATATCTCTCTTGAGGTCTTTTTGATTTGGAGGATTGGAAAAGTTTTCAACTATTAAAACTTTTTGAGTTTATTTGGTTGCCATCAGTTCATACGCTTTACGAATGCACAGTCGAAGAACGAAGCTTAATTACTCCAATACAACGAGACACTAGAATTATGCTACTTTAAATGAGCAAATAACACAGTTTCCGTCTGTTCACGAAAGGTATGAAATTTCAGTAAAGATTACATTTTAATAATGCTTTTGAAACTGGTACCAGTTTGTGACATTTTTTTTTTGGAAAATAATGTTAGTTAATAGAGACTGTGCTTTTAGTGTCGATCTGTTTTTAGTTTAATTCGCGAAACGATATTGTAATCAAATTTTTAAAGCTGAAGATAATATTTTTAATTTATTATTAATTTTTTTTATTGAGAACAACATCTCAATGTGAACTTATGTTTATGATAAGTTAATATGTTGACACACTAAAGAGTTTAATATGTGTGTAGAGAAAAACTCTATTTTATATAAGATGTGTTTGACCTATATCTGTGCAAACTATTTTGTAACGAACTGATGGTCTGCTGTACAATAAACTAAAGTTTACTGGATAAACATTCAAACTGATATTGTTCTGTTGTCACACAGGTAAGGTAATTCTTCAATTTTTGCGTTTTTATATAATTTAATTTTTCAATTTAAGTTTATATTATTGAACAAAAGAAGCAGTTTTAAGCACAATAATATGAACTACATTTTACGATAACAAAACTTTGTAAAAACCCTTACAGAAATTTAATGTATTTTGGAGGTTTATTTGAAGTTGATTTTAAAAACAACCTTAAAAGATCAACCTCCCAAGGTGTATAATCAAGGTGGATGAATTTGTTTTATTCACACTTGAGGTTGTTTTGAGATTGATGGAAATCTACTTTAGAGCGACCAGATTAGGGAGGTTGTTTTTGAGGTGTAAGGATTATTTTTCTACACTTTTATCAAATTCGTATTTGAGGTGTGAATAATTTCACCTGATCAAAATCTTGATTTCTTTGATACAATTAGATTTCTTGCTTTTGAAATAATATGTATTTTACTGTTAAAGCTGGAAAACCATTAATGTGCACATTAACGAGTTAATCTTTAGATTAACTGATTGGGCTCTGTTAAAGTGCTAAGTCAAGTGTTTTCAGCATTTTAATTAGGTATTGTGCACATTTACGGCTTTCGTATTAAAGATCAAAATTTTATTTCTCTAATTCTATCAACATCTTTGTTAATTGTATTGAATCGATTCTTTTTGTATCTAAAATTTAATAAATAAATGACATTATGTTGATTTCCTTAATTGTAATAGTATTTCAAAATATTTGATTTTTGGTGTTATAATGGATCATGTTAGTAACAATTGATTCTATGAACTTATGTGATTGAGTGTGTTTGTGCACTTGAAGTATCAGAAGGTTTTCAGGTTAAATATTAACCGTTTATTAACCACATCACAAACATATATACCAGAGGTGGCCAACCTGCGGCTCGCGAGCCACATGCGGCTCTTTGAAAGATTATTTGTGGCTCTCGATAAATGTACACGAGTTTCCTTTGAATTTTTGGGCTATTATATTTTAAAAGATTATTATCGTTCCGTATGTGTTTCAAAATGTCTTTTAAATTACTGAGAACAAATATGAAAGACTAAGTGCAACGTTGTTCAGTTCAAGGTGAGTTTTCCATTTCCAATATAATTATGTCACAAAAAGCATCTGGAGAATTAGAATTAATAGAGATGCAAGAAGATCAAGCTCTACAATTAAAATATAAGTCGACGTCGATTACTGAATTTTAGAAATTTGTACCAGAATCGAAGTATCCTGAATTAAAAAAGGCTGATTGTTCAATTATTTCAATATTCGGAACAACGTACTTATGTGAATCATTTTATTCCACTTCAAAATTAATGAAATCCAAAAACCTATCAGTACTAACTAACCAGCATCTCAAAGAATTACTGAGAAGTGCTGACACACCAATTATTCACCTAATTTTAAAGAATTATCAAGAGAAGTAAAATAAATGTGTTTAATTTTTAATATTTGAACTCAATACATATATTTTGTACTTTTACTTATACGAGGGTTGCTATTTATATTTCTGGCCTAATAATGAAAAAACAAATATGTAGGATCGAAATTGGTTTTATTGTCTTTCAAAATACTCTCCATGATGATCAATACACTTTTGCATGCGTTTGAACCAATTTTTAAAGCACTTTTTCCAGTCCGATTGAGGTAACTCCAAAACATGCGTTTTGGAGTCATCAACCGCTTGTCGGGCGTCGAAAATCGTTGTCCACGTAATTTATTTTTGATGTGTGGGAATAAGAAGAAGTCATCGGGTGCCAAATCAGGGCTGTACGGCGGATGATCCTTCAGTTCCATCTTTCGCTCCGTCAGAAATGCCTTTGTTTGAGTCGATGTGTGAGAGATCGCATTGTCATGATGAAGAATGATTCGCCTGTTCTTCTGCTTTTTTCCGAATTTCTCCGATGACTTCCGGCAAACAAATGGTCGTGTCCCATTCAGAATTGACCGTCCTGCGTTGCTCTAACGCCACTGTTGCCACATGACCGTTAATGCCGAAGAAACAGGCAATCATTTGCTTCGATGTGCTTCTTCCTCGAACAACTTTTGTTGGTTTTGCCTCGTCTTGGAAGACCCATACAGTTGATTGCTGTTTTGTTTCCGGCTCATATGCAGAGATCCATGATTCGTCACCTGTGTAGATGTTATACACAGGAAGCTATAATGATAAATCGTCTGCTGAATTTATGTTTAAAAATATCAAACTTTCGATTAAAATCGTCTGCGGTCGCCTAGCAACACTTACTGTTGCCAAGGCCAGAAATATAAATTGCAACCCTCGTATGTTCTCAATAAATATTATTTATGCAAAAAAAATTTAATACCTTTTTTCATACGTATTAAATTGCGGCTCGCGAAAAATTTCAAATTTTGAAAAATGGCTCGACTATCAAGGAGCTTGGCCACCCCTGATCTATACGCTACATGCAAAATAATAAGATTAATAGAGAGTTAGGACTGCACGTCTTTTTTGCAATGAGTTTTAACAGAGAAAGATGATGTGTTCAGTTCGGATCTCTCTATAGAGAAATAAATTAGCCACACCTTTAACTTAGTGATAGGCTAGATTTAGTTTGAGAAGTTAGATTATTGGATTAGAATTTTGATAGACAGATTTTAGTTTGAGTTCCCAATTCTGGGTTTCAGTTTAAATTTAAAAGTTTCACTTCGTGAAAATTGTGATGGACAGACAAAGAAAAGTGAAAGTAATTAAGGATCACCACAAACTAATGCGCTGATTGGTTGATTGTAGTTACCAGATTTCTTAGAGTGCGAAAAACGAGGTAAATAATATTAATTTAAACATAATGTTAATTTAAATATGTTGCTGTTGTTTCAGCAAAGGCAGGGCTCGA